ATCATAGTCCACAATTTTGCAATATAGCCAAATTATCCAATAAGTTAACAACTAATACGATGAACATTGGTAGTTAAATCACAAGCACATCAACGACAGTATGAACACAAGAATTTATAAGTTGGAAATGATGAAAATTCCAATAAAGTGTCAAACACTAAAAAAAATGACAAATAATCCAAAAAATGACATAATATTTTACATCTGTAAGGATGTATTCTTTCAGTCATTAAGCCATCGTGTTTCTTGACGAACTTGAATGAGTGTTTTGTGCGTCCTTCATTGCAACCTTCATTATTCCTTTCTTTCTGTAAAATATTTAAGTACATCATTTTGTATATTAATATTTCCAACTCTCTCTCTTACAGAGAGAGACACATTGATGTTGTTACGTACTTACTTTTATCCCTCTGAACTAAACCCATAAACACAGTTAAGTAGTTATGATGAAATGCAAAAACACACACACTAACAAAAATCATACTTAACAAAAAAAAAAGCACTCAACACAACAAAAAATGCATATCCTCACTTTACCAAAACTGACCAAAATGCTGCTTCCTCTGCTCTTTTTTCATGCATTCTTCCTTTCTCCTATTACTTCCTCACAATTTTTTCACAACTATACATGATATCCACAGAACTCTCCTTTTAGTCTAAGTGAGCCATTAATCATACTTCACTTTCTTAAATTTTATTTGTTTACTGAATATGTAAACCATCTATATTTTTGCAACTTCCAATATTCATTGATTATTCTGCATCATCTAAGGAAGATAAACCTTCACTTGACTACCATCAATTCACAGCTAAAACAATTTAGACAACAAGTCCAAACCAAAAGAGCAAGCTTACAATCAAAATGTATCAGAAACCCATCAACAAATGCATAACTTTATCCTCATTAGATTTAGGAATAAATACAATTTCTTTTAGATCTTCCAAAATCAAACATTTCCCATCTCTTGAATACTTATGATTCAACTATTTCAAACATCAAATTAGCTTCAGTTTCCTTTCCTGCTATACTTCTCCATTACTGCTTAATTGTTTTGTGCCAATAAAAGTTCAAAACAAACATTTATGAGCAATAATCATAAATTTAAAAAAAAAAAAAAAAAAACCGCCTTTATCATTTATCACCATAAGACTTTTTATCAGAAGAATACCGCATTCCAGGTGGAACCCATGTGAGTTTCGTTCGATTGATTCGAGAGGTCTTTCGGGTTGAGCTTTTTCGGCAAAGGCAAAGAGGAGTTGTGAGAACTGCTTATAGGCCATTTCTACCTTAGTGTGAATTTTTCCTTTAACATCTTCATTTTCACAACCCAACACTTTTTCAATGAATCTTTCAGTTCAGAGTTGTGAGAATTGCTTTCCAATTCAATATCATTATCATCTTTTTCTTGAATAACTTCTTCACTTTGTCATCATTAATTGGAGAGAGATGAGTGTATAGAATTTGATCCTATAATGTGGTGGTTCCTAATTCTTTGCAGCAAAAATCTGATGAAATATATATGGGCGGAGGGGTATTGGGGGTTTATGGCGTATTAATTACGTTTTTAAATGATTTAATTAGTTATTAGGGTATTTATCTAATTAATCAATACCTCCACACGTTTTACTATTGAACTTAAAAATATTTTCGCGTTGTCAATGAATTTTGATATGCTTTACTACATTACTTACTCACCATCTCTGTCATACTTTACTCACTATATTTAAAATGCTTTCGAGTAGTCACTAAACATTATTCATTAAATCAACTGTTCAAAAATTTAAAATCTTGAAGTATAAAATACAATACACGAAAACAATGACATTCTTTCCTTTTGAATTACGTTGTAACGATTCTAAAAATTATATTGTTAGTCCTGATTAATATTATTGACTCAAAAGTTAAAATCGAAAATTTCAATGTCGGTTTGGGATATGATTTTTATTATATTGATTTGGGTATACTATCTCAATCGAAATAGATAAATCATTTCTCTATTTTATTTTCTCGACGTAAAGCGAGATTATAATCTAAATTATGATTTGTATCAGTTTGAGATTAGCATTTTACTTTTCATTTGAACATAACTTTTGAAGATTAGAGAGATTATATATTTTTTAACAATATCAATATTCTCGTCTCATCAATATTTATTTTATTTTATTTTCTTAATTTATGTCGAATTTCATAGAAAATCAACTTTATTCGAAAATGTTATGAAGTTCAGTGACTATCCAAAAGCATTTTAAAGCTCAATGAGTAAAGTATGACGAATATATAAATTTAGTGATAGGTGAAGGATGAGAGCACGTGGGGTTAGAGAATAAACTATGAGCTGTTGAGAAAATTCAGCGTTTTTATTTTCCTGTTTTGTACATTCTAGCAGTTTGTTTTGCATTATCCTTCCGTTAGCTATTTCTTAGGAACTTTCCCTTTTTCTTGCATGTAATTTGAACGTGTTTTTCCCTATATAAACCACAATTTCAGTTTCAATAAAAGGAGAGAAATATTTATCCAAAAAAGTTCTTATTGTGGTACAATTCTCACTCGAAGAGATTTTTTATTTTTTTCATCATTTTATGTGCTTCTAACTGGGACCTATCAATTGGTATCAGAGCTGTATTATCATGGCTACAAACAAGGAAAGGATTGAAGCCTTGGAGGCAGGACTTGGCAGGGTTCAAAATGGACTACAGCAAATGGGGATTGGCGTCACTGACAAGTTGAACCAACAGGAGGCAACCATCTAAAAGCTTTTCGACGCTATCCTTTTAAAACAGTACTTCATCCAACCACAACAATCGTGAACGTGAAGTACCCTTCCACTCACATCGCGAGGAGAATGAAAGTGGCCGCCAACCCTTCTCTTCTAAAGTGGCAAAGCTGTAATTTCCAAAGTACTATGGCAACAATCCAACAGAATGGTTCACTCGTGTGGCCCAATTTTTTGAGTACCAAGACACCCCCAACAACCAGAGAGTATCCCTCGCTTTTTACCACCTGGAGGGAGAAGCATATCAATGGTGGCAATGGTTGCGCAAGACATATCAAAAGGAGCGCAGGCTGATCACATGGGAGCTCTTCTCTAAAGAGATGTGGCCAAGTCTTGGGGCCGACAGAAGGAGAGGATTTCAACGAAGCCCTCTCGCATATCACACAAACTGGTATGTTGAAGGACTACCAACAAGAATTTGAAAGGTTGGGCAATTGCGTACAGGGATGGACCCAGAAGGCTCTTGTGGGCACGTTCATGGGAGGCTTGCAACTTGAGATTGCAGAGGGCATTCGCATGTTTAAGCCTAAAACTTAAAGGAGGCAATTAGCTTAGCAAGGATGAAGGACAAACATCTAAAACGCGCAAGAAGGTCCCTACGATTAGCATCATCAGGTCGCACCGAACTCACACTTTCATCTCCAGCACAAACTATAGTTTCATTGCCCGTGAAAGAGAATTACTTCGGATGAAATGCAGAAACGGAGAGCACAAGGTCTTTGTTTCAATTGCAATGATAGGTTGACTACTGGTCACAAATGTCAAAAATCATAAATATTACTGTTGGAGAGGTGTACAAACACGAGCAACGTTACCGATGAAGAGGTCATAGAGGGCAATCCAATTGAAGACAAAGCATGTGCAAGCGATCCATACCCAGGAAGACCTCCAGAAGCAAACTCCAAGTGTGGACCTTGGGGACAACTCTCCACTTGAGGGGGAGGTATTGATAGGTGAAGGATGAGAGTACGTGGGGTTAGAGAATAAACTATGAGCTGTTAAGAAAATCCAGCATTTTTATTTTCCTGTTTTGCACATTCTAGCAATTTGTTTTGCATTATCCTTCTATTAGCCATTTCTTAGGAACTTTCCCTTTACTCTTGCATGTAATTTGAACGTGGTTTTTCCTATATAAACCACAGTTTCAAATTCAATAAAGGAGGACATATTTATCCAAAAAAGTCCTAAATGTGGTACAATTCTCACACGAAGAGAATTATTTTTTTTTTCACCATTTTATGTGCCTCTGACGGGGACCTATCATTTAGTGACTAATGAAACTTGATGAATGAACGATGAAATGCAACGTATTAAAGTTTAGTGACTAATGAAACATGATAAATGAATGATGAAATGTAACACATTAAATTTTAGTGACCACTTCGAAAGTATTTTAAAATTTAATGACTTATAAAACATGGTAAGTGATGGAGTGCAATGCTTTAAGTTCAATAACTACTTGAAAGTAATTTTAAAAAAGCTCACCTAGCCACCTAAGCTTGAAATTCTGGTAAAAGGCCTCGTTTCATGCTTAGACACTTTTTTTCCCAATAAACGATTGAATTTTTCCCTTCATCTCTTTCATTTTTCTTAGGCGCACTTTATTCGTTTTTTCCTTTTTTAAAAAAGTCTTTTATTTGACTTTAGCTTATTAATTTTTATTTTTATTTTTAAACGCTTTTCATTTAACTTTAATTTCAAGTTTTTAAAAAATTTTATTTGTACAAAAAGTTAAAAATGACTTTATCTAAATAGTTAAATAAGATTTCCGTTGTAGTGTTATCTACATTATGTAATTATAATATTGAAACTCGTTATTTTGTTGCAAACTCAAAAAATATGTATGAAATTCATATATATCTATTAAGTAGAACTTATCTAGTTGAAAATTAAAACTATGAAAAGTATTTTAGTTTTAGCATTTCGAAAATTTGAAAATTATATGATTGACTAATGATAAGAATTATTAAGTAAATACAGTATTTTATTATTCTAGATGTTTGATATGTATTATTTTATTTATTAAATGATTTTTTTAAAATGTTAAAAATTTAAAAAATGGTTTTTTTCTTCTAAACCTCATCTAAACTCGTAAAGTTTCAACTCCATGCCTATCCACACTTATAGGATATTGCTTGAAAGTATTTCAAAGTTCAATAAATAAAGTGTGACCAATGTAAAAGCTCAGCTACGGATGAACCATTTAACTATACGGCCATCTCTCTCCTCTTCTTCGATAGCAAGGTCCCTTACTTTCACAATAATTTCGTTTACGTCCCTTTCATTTTATTCATTATTTATTCACTTCGCTACCTAGATTTCTCTGCTTTTTCCTTCAAAAATCTTTTCTATACTACTTTCTCGCAAAAATCCCAAATCTCAAATATGATTCACAGCAAAATGTTGATCATCAAATTTTCTTGGTTTTTCCTATTACCCATAAACAGTTGAGAGAAATAGAAAAAGAGAAAGAAAAAGATGTTGGATATGAGAAGACCTCACTTTATTTTGGGTTTTGACCCTTCTTTATGCTGCGAAAAACTGGTAATTTTCTTTTCATATCCTCATATTTCTTATATGTACTTTTATGCATATGGGTTGTGTTCGCGTACCTAGATCTTATTTGTTATTAGTATGAATTAGTTAAATTTCGGGTAAAATGTAATGTGGGTCGTGATTGATAAAAATTGATTGAAAAAGGATTGTGTAATTGAAAAAGGATTGTGTAATTTTTCTGGTTTAACGGTATTTTTATGCATATGGGTTGAAGTGTGTAAGCAGGCTTGACTTTTACTTATTATTTTTTCGGGTGAAATACAATGTGGACCGTGATTAATAAAAATGGATTGAGAAATAAAGTCTTTGATTTCCTAATTTGTCTGGATTTCATGAGATTTTGTTTTTGCTAGGTGCCACTTAATTTTAAAATTCGAAAATTTTCAAGCGTTGAGAAAAATGAGGGTTTTAATATTGATTATAAATTATTTGACTGGTAATGCAGTTTGTTTGGTTGAAATAATTACGGATATCAGGATATGTTTTGTTCTTTAGTTGGGAAGGGAAATCAGTTCAACTGAACCGTACTTGATGGGAACCATATTTCTTAAAAGTTTGATAAATTTTTGATAGGTGAAAATTGACATTATTACTTGTGTAGGTAATAAGGCTGCGTGTTTGTTTTAAAGTTGGTAATGAGTATTAGGCTTAAATAATTGCGTGTTAATTCCATTTTACTTTATCATTGGTGGTGAATCATTCTACTTAATGGACTTGAGATGTTAAAAGTGGTACTGAAATGTGTGTTAATTCAAGTCTTCAACTAACTTTGAGGTTTGTATCATCTAATGTTGATCTAAACAAATTTTGACAACTATAACTATGAAGTTAAGAGATAAGATCTTTTCCACTGTATAATAGCTAAAAATTGCTATTTTTTATCCTTTTTTTTATTGAGGGGTTTTACTTCCTTGGTATACCCAATTTTGCTGCATATAGGCAATGTGCTTGCTGAAACCATGAGAATATTTTTTATTGTAAGCAGTCTATCAAGGTTGATACTGCCTTTTCGTCATATGTAATTCATATTAAATCCATCGTGCTCTAAATGAGGTTTTCAAGTAATTTATCACTATAGTTTAGACGTAAATCCATCGTGTCGCGTGTTACTGACATCATTTAAGTACTTTCTCTCACAGAATATTCCCTTCAGTTTCATAAAGCATGTTGAAGGAAGCGGGTCAGGAACAGCTTTGTTAGTAGGTCCTAGTGGTAACACCTGGTATGCAGACATCGTTTTGCTTGGTGATAGGTTATTCTTTCAAGATGGATGGGCAGCTTTTGTTAGAGATCACTTTCTTGAACAAGGTGATACTCTTGTTTTCAGATATGATGGTGATTTGCATTTTACAGTGCAAATTTTCGATAGGAGTTTATGCGAGAAGGAATCTGCATTTAGTGCTGCAAGCAGTCAAGATTTAAGCAACTATGTTAGTCATGAAGCGAAAAAAAGAGACAGGGAAAGCTCTGGTTACTTAGATAGCATCATGGAAGGCGTTCCGAAGAAAATACGAAGTTCTAAAATGCATTCTGAATGCTTGACTAAAAATCCGGAAAATTGTATATGTGGTATAGACGAGGAAGAGTGCCTGAAAGAAGCTGATAGCAACAGTAAATTAAAGAATTTTGTAACTGTTGCTGTACCATCTCATGCCGAGGTTTTCAATAAGATTTCAGGTAAAAGTGCTCACTGTTCTTTATTTGGGGTTTGCAGTTGAAAGTTCACTTTTCTAAAAGGTAAATGCCTCCCAAAATTTTTGCCATCTGCAACGGATAGCTACTTGACAGTATTGCTAAGAACAGATGGTTCCTTGCTGTGGGGGAACTGGAAAACTATATTGATTAAAACAAAATATTCTACCTGCTGCCTGGATTATATGCTTTGTTGTTAAGATGTATTTATATGGAATTCATATGATTTTTCTCTTTTCCTTTTGCAAACTTCTATTTAAAGCTTATGCAACGTAAAAATTAAATAGACAACAAAATAAGAAGGTCAATATTTAAAACATAAAAAAAAATCAATTAGTAAAGCCAAAGCAGAAATCTCAGAGGATGTTTGATGGGGATTTAAATTATATTTTTTTAGTAGATTGTGATGAAAGTTTTTGAAATGTGTGGTTGAAAAGCTGTGAAACCATGAAAGATGAGATTCATATTGATTGTTTGACTTGGATTTAGATTAAAATCGAATTTTAATCCTTTCCAAACAGGCTCTTAATGTGTTGAGGCTAATGACTTCTATGAATGTGTAGAGTTGACTATGGCTTGATTCTGTTGACTTATAGATCAAATTGATTCTTTGTTCCAATTTTCAAAGTCAAGAGTAAATGAAAATAGAATTGCTATGATTAGCTAGTTTAAAGTTTTGGGTAAAAAAATGACTGGTGTAGGTAAAGTTTTTCAAAGCCTATCAATTCTTAAATGTTTGGGTTTTGTGAAGCAGATCGACCAATTACTAATAGGACCACCAAGCTAGACGTGCTGTTATCAGCATCAGAAGCAGAAAGAGTAGTGCAATCTTTCACTTCATCTTTCCCCAATTTTACAAAGGTCATGAAAAGATTCAACGTTAGTGGTTCGTACACTCTGGTTAAAAATATTTTTTTTATTTGCCATGTGTTTTTTTATGAGCACCCTTAAAAGTCATTTATTATTAAACTGGACTATAAAAGGTTAACTAGCGTTGGGTGTCAATGATCTCTGAGCTTTTTGTTGGGATTCTTTGTTGATTGATAATGTGCTCTTACTGTGCATCAAAGCATTCAATCCATTTTATCTATACACTTCATTAGCCTGACTAAGATACTAAACAGGAAGGTAAAATGCACCTTGTCTCTTTTGACCAACAAAGACGATGAAGTAAACTTTACTATCATTAAAGTTGGGTCAGATACATGAATCTTATTTTCGCCACCTATACAATCTGGCACTGCATTTGATAAAATCTAATAAAATCAAATCATTCTGACCATGATACTCGGAATCGGATATGGGTGTTAGATACGGATATCCAGGAGTCGAATTTTTCTCATTTTAAAAAATTTAAGTTATGGGGATATGGGTTTAAAGGTTCCGTATTTTGGATACTAGTACGGGGATATTTCTTACAATTTTTTTAAATGGTAGAATAATACGAAAATAACAAAGAGAAAAATGATTCAATTAAAGCAAATAACCACAATATTAAAGCAAAATAGCAAATTACCACAATACAAATGTTTCATATAATGATAAAATTCAAATTCAAACAAAACATGATTCAAAATAAAGTTAAACATCCAAAATGTCGTAATATAAAAAGCAAGAAGTTCCCCACTCGAAATCAAACTGAACAAGCGTTCCCAATCAAGCTTTACTCCTCTTCTTCATCAAACGTAATTGCATCCAATTTTGGCTCATCAATGGATATTTTTGCCATATCAATGCTACTTTGTCCATCCAATTCAATTTGATCCCGGCCTACAAAAAATATAGATATACTAATATTAAGGTAATAAAATTAGATATCTGAAAAAAAAAGTAAGAATATAGTATACATACACAAATCCAAATATTTTGTTGCCCATCTTTGTACTCTTCATTTTGTGATAAAATTCGAAGATTGCAATGAACAAATGCCAAGTCTCTAGTCCTACTTGTCGCCAACTTGTTTCTCTTGATACTTTGGAGGAGTGAATACGTGTTCCAATTTCGCTCACAACAAGAAGACGTTGGCTGCGAGGGCAATTTAAATGCTAGAGATTGCAACAAAGGCACTGAAAAACCATGATTAGCCCACCAAGAGATTGGTTCTTCGTACATTCTTGCATCAATAACATGGGACTGATTGAAATATTCCAATCCGCAAGATAAAGGACCTAAATTCAACATATGCTTTTCTTAAATCAGTTGGAAAAAAAAAATCCTTTTGAAACATTTGCTTTTATTCCTTGAAACTTCTTAATCCTCATGTGGTACAATTCTTGGAACTCCGTTACTTCCATCTTGAATTCAAGCTTCATTATAATACTTATGAACCAAAGAGTGTGCCATACAATGCAAATGAGGGTTACTCTTATGCCATCTACTCTCCAAAACTTGATGAATAGCATGAAAAAAAAAAATCTAGTGTTTTGCATGTATAGCACTCTCATAATTGTGGGGACCTCAATTATTTTAATCGTGGGCTCCAAAGTTGTCAACCATGATGTCAAAATTGTTGTACTTGTAGCATTGCTCAAAAATCTAAATGTCCTAAAACTATGTTTGTCCCTTCGTGGTCAAATACAATGTTTTTCACATTTTCAATCATTGTGTCCCACATATCATATATTAAATGTGAAACTAGGGAATTGGAATCAACTACTCGTAACATATTATGAACAAGCTCGGTGAAAGATAAAAAAAATAAATAAATAAATAAAGAAATCCAAATTATCCCACCAAACATCATTGACAACACACATGTTCACTTTTTGTGATTTACCTTCATTATTTCCGTCCCTATAAATTCTCCAATTTGAATCCATCACTATTTTTTTAAGTGCTAGCCTAACTTCTCTTAATCGTTTACTCTCATTACAATAGCCGATTCAAATTTTGTATCAGCCATCCTCAACAAACCCAACTTAGAATATTTATTTTATATAGCTAATGTCGTTCCATGATTGACAATAAAATTACAAATGATTTGCACATCACTCACCGAATCAGCAATCCACTTACAATGTGCATATCATGGCGATTTTTCAAAATGATGACATATGCTTTTCAAAGTCACATTCAGACTGTACCACACAATGAGTCCAAAAGATATGAGGATGCCTTGTTTCAATGCTTGTCTCTTATGATTGGAACAATATTTGCTCTTCCAATTTGCTTGATAGCATCAATAAACGTTGCTACCATGTATTCTCCATCTTTTACATTGTCACTTGCATCAATTGCTTTAATAAATATAGCTCCACATGCAAATGCTTCCGTTACATTTATAAGGTCTCCTTTGTTTATCCAACCAGCCATAAGAAACATTAGACACTCCCATTTTCTTCCATGAATCTCTGATGGGCTGAAGTTTTTGTTGAAATGCTCCTCTTGTGTAAGCAATGTTGTACGCAATCGATTAAAAGTAGGGAGGGGTATGACCAATCAAGTTGCTATTGGCTAAAGTTCTACAGAACTGTATGAAGTAAGGAGATTTTGCAAATTTGAATAACAATGCACTAGCTAAGAACATTCTGGCAGCTTCCTTATCAGTTGTGTCCCTGTGCGCCATGTCGAATGTCTTTCCTAGAGGTTCAAGCTCTCTATTTTTTATTTTTTTTTTTGCCTTTTCTACTGCAACAAATCAGAACCACTCGGTAATAAGACATACTCAACCCTTTTCCTTTCATTGACCTCATCTTGTAATTTTTTCCTCTCGACTTGCTCGTATTTTCTCCTAGTTGATGGATGAATGTCATTTGTTATAGCTTTACAACACTCAACCTTGTGATTTGGAAGTTTTAGCAAATTAGCTTTTAATTTAGTGTACGATCTAGTCACTTTTTTGTTGCAATAGTTGCAACTCCAGGTTCGATTTCTACCTTTGCTCACTGCTGTGGTGAGTACCTTCACATGGTTCCATAGTTGCTTATCATCAAACTGATTTGCACTAAGATTTGATGGTCTTTTAGATGTTTCTAGTGAAGAGTTGGATTCATATTTGAAAATTAGGAGTAAATAAGAATCTGAAAATGTTTTATTGAAGAAAATATGTTTATATTGACAGGAAGACGAATTTGTCATTTATGTAAAGAAGAGTTTTTGGTGGAAATTTTGAAGAGAAAGCTAAAACGTCAAATTGCAATTCCAAGAGTAAATTCTGAAATTTTTGAAAAAAAAGAAACTAAAATCGCAATTCTTCACGTAATTTGGCGGCTTGATTCCTGGACCTTTTATTCACCAGAATTTTGCTTTCCAATTTCAATTGTTAATGCATTATTGTTAATTAAATATTCTATAAATAATGCTTTGCTTCCTAATTCCAATTGTTGATGCTTGATTAAATATTCTATAATAAACATTAGGTTATCCGTTTTAGATTGGCCAACTCGTTTTATTAGATATTATTTTAGCAAGTATTAATTTTCTGACTTTATATTAATTTAAAGTGAAGTTTTGTGATCACACTCTAAAAAGAATAAGATCGGCGTCGTGCATAGGCGACAAGTTGATTGAGTTATACGTAGACGGATATTTGACCATTCAACAATATTTTACTTTACTTTTAGAGATTAAATGAGCTGGGGTTGATAGGATTTAGGATATTTATAGTTAAAGTACGTTTAACGTGAAGTTGTGTGATCACAGTCTAAAAATAATAAGATCAACTAGTGTCGTACTTATTCAACAATTGATCGAGTTGTATGTAGACGGAGATTTAACTAATCACCATCTTTTCCTTTTAGAGGTTGAATGAGTTAGAGTCGATATAATTTAGGATATTTATGGTTTAAGTACGTTTATCGTGAAGTTGTTTGATCACACTCTAAAAATAATAAGATCGACTAGCGTCGTGCGTAGGCGAAAAGTTTTCAAGTTGTACGTAGACGGAGATTTGACTATTCACCAATCCTTTACTTTACTTATAAAAATTAAATTGAGTTAGAGCCGATATGATCTAAGATATTTATGGTTATGGAAGTTTAACGTGAAGTTGTGTGATCACACTCTAAAAAGAATAAGATCAACCAACTCGTGCATGGGCGACAAGTTGACTGGGTTGTACGTAGACGAAGATTTGACTACTCACCAATACTTTAAAAGATTAAAGTGAGTTAGGACCAATATGATCTATACTATTTAAGGACCTTTAATGTGAAGTTGTGTGATCACATGTTGAAAAGCATAAAGTCGACTAGTATCGTGCATAGGTGATAAGTTAATCGAGTTGTACATAGATGGAGATTTGATTACTCATCAATTATTATTTTTTATTGTGTTATAAATATTTCTAATTTTATAATTAATAATACTGATTTGTGTATTAATTACTATATAAAAAGTTTACATGAGTAGAAATAAGAAATAAAAAACTTAATACATCAAGGAACTCAAATATAAGTATTGGACAACCGTTTTGAATAATATCAATCTAAATTTACATTTACTCATACACAATTAATTGATATTCAGTGTTAAAAAATGAACTCATAGTTTATTTTGTTTATCAACTCTTTTGATAAAATCAATTTAAACAATTGGATTATAATTTCAAAAGTCTTATCTCATTTGATTTCTTTTTTATCCATGAAGACGTGCATATAAGGTGTGTGTGAAAATTTAAATATGAATATGAATTCAATTGGTTCTTTACATTAAAAAAAAGTGATATGATGTAACACTTTATTTGTCGTCATTTTTTTAAGAAAGTCGCAATCTCATTTGAATTCTTTCTTGATCCATTAAAGATGTGTGTATAAGGTGTTTGTGAAAAATAAGGAAAAAATTTTGATTTGCGTGTAATATTATTTTAATAAAGAATGTGTTGTTGAAAAGAAGAGAGAGAAAAATGCATTTTGAAAAAAAATGACTACCAAACGGGGCCTAAAAGTGACATGATGATACACTGAATGTCTTGTATATGAATTAATATGTTGGAATTTAAACGTGAAATAATCTATCACTTTTATTAAAAAGTCACACACAATTCTATTTGTATTCTTTTTTACACATTTATAAAATTAATATTTTTATTAGTTATGTAGACAAATATGAAAAATTAAGGTTGTCCATTTGAAAGTGATATGTTATGTCACTTTTAAATTAAAAAGTCACTTAGTGTCTAATATGTCTTTTTCAATTTGATAATAATGTATATCTGTCTGTAAAATTTTGTTGTGTTAAATTTTTTACACTAAAAAATGACATGTCAATATATTAAAATATATGTACACATGTATCAACTTATTTATTATTCTTTTTTTCATATATATAAAATATAGGTTACCTGTGTACATTTTACGTATTAAACAATTTAGAATGTGGCATTCAATAATTCATGCAAAGACGGCTTTCACATTTATACTACATCCGTAATATATTTATCATGAATGCCTTGCAAGCTTTCCAATAGATTTAAATCACTCAAAATGGATAACTGTAACTTAAACTATCGTATCAAACGAAAATTTAGAATTAAATATTAAAATAATCCTATCTCAAATAAAATAATAAATCATGCCGCTCACAATAAATAATAAAAAACTTGGAAGAGACTACCCCTGATTCATAGCAATATTTTTGTTGACTTTGAAACCACCTAAATTCATCATTTCATTAACTCTATTCATTAGGCTTCTCAAAATCCCATTTGACACCTTCTCCAAAACCCTCAAGTCTTCTCTAAACCTGTCGTCGTCCCCATCTTTTTTCTTTTTCTTTTTCTTTTTTTTTTTTTTTGCAAATTTTGCTGCCGTGTTCCTTTCCTCCGAAAATTTCTGCATATTATTATTACAAGACCCAAAATAAATGGGTTTGTTGCTGCCACAGGCACAAGCCAAAAGCAATACTCTACCGTCCGTTGTTTTCTCTCTTTTGCCGCCTTATCCAAGTCCAAAACCAAGGATCCGATCCATATCCTGTGTGACATGGATACTTCTTCATATTTGGAGAGTCCGAGCGTCATGGCCACATAAAGCCATGCTATTTTTAGTGTATACCACCCCTTGTACCCTTGGATTTGATCGCTCTCATGAATTGAGATTCTTTTGGTTTTCAGAAGACACACTTTAACCATCAAAGTCATCTTTCTTGAAATTTTTTAGTTGGTGTGGCCTTATTGTCTTTCATAGTCCTTTCTTATTATATCTATTATAGTATGGACGTGCATCCATCTTATCATCTTTATATATAGTATATACTGCTTTCATCTTCTGAATGTATTATCCTTTGAAAGCCCACACTTAATATCATTAAACACAACTAGTTGAATAGCAATTGTGTAGAACTAAATACCTATAGTACTTCATTTTACCTTCTCGCTCTAATCTTATTTTCTAAATATATTCAAGCTCTCATTCCTTATTAATAATAGGTCAGCCTTGTTATGAAGGATAGCCTTTTTTTATTTTTGTTCAGAGTTATTTGGACTGAACTCATTTTTAGACCGTCTCCTGAACAAGGTGAAGCGCTAAATAAAGGGAAAACAACAATCCTTGAAATGTAGGATAAGTTCTTTCTTATACTTTTCCCGCTCTTCATCAGTCTTGTTAATTACCTGACAAGTCCTTATGCCGTTATTTATTTCTATCTTATTTGATGTGGAACTTATCCCTTAACATGTCCATGCAACATGGCGGCTTGTTTGCATATACCAATCTTTAAACTTTGTGCTCGTTTGATTCTTTGTTGGATTGAATTGCTCAATTGAGCTTAATAGGTTTTGATACCATATAAACGTTTAGGGTCCATCTTAAAAAGGTCTCTTTCGTTAAGAAGAGTAGTTCAAGTTCTTATATATTGATTATTTATTTATGTTTATTCAATATGGGATTATCCCTTAACAATAATCAAATCTAACTAACTAATAACAATCATATTGACTCTTTACATGAGAGATTTCATCCAAGCAAGTTAATTGGCAGCCATTACTCTTGAGCATTTTCGTTTTCACTTTCTTTCTTCCATCATTATTTTACCCTCGTTTTCAGGCTTCTCCTTGCTTGTTATGCAGAATGTCCCATATCAGTTTGCAATGGAACATCTTCCCAAATGCAAAGTTAAGATTTTGCTTCGTAATTTAAAAGGAGAAAGTTGGACAGTAAATTCAATCCCCACCACAAAAGTCCATACTTCACATACTTTCTGTGGAGGATGGTTGGGCTTTGTTCGTGATAATACTATTGATTTGGGAGATATTTGCATCTTTGAGCTTGTGCGCAAGTATGAGCTGCAAGTGCGAATTCTGCATGTGGGAAAGGAACGGATAGATGGGAATGTTGGTGAAGCATTTCATAACAGGAACATTAATGGTTCTGCTGGCACATCAAATAAAATATCGAGACGTAAATCAAAGAAAATAAGTGGACTTGCTAATAGTAAGAGGGGATCTTCTCTCTCCTCACATACTTGCATAGGAGAATCAGGTAACTAATGAACTCTCTGCTTGGGTGATATGTCTTCTTTGAGAATCTGTTAATTCTTGCTGACTAGTTCTACTGCAAAATTATAACAGATATCCAGAAAAAATTTGGCTCCTTGAGCAAACAGGGTCCTTATGCTAAAGGATGTATGTCAATGAAGTCTGCACCTGAAGAAAAAATAGCTGTTGAGTCTTTTGTCTCCAATTTGCCTCATTTCGTGAAAAGTATGAAGAAGTTCAACGTTAGTGGTTCTTATACTCTGGTAAGCAGTTCTTTTCTTTTCTTTTTTTATTTTTTATTTTGGTTATTCTCTCAAATTTTTAATTTTATATTAAACTTGTAATATTCTTGTTTTCCATGTCAAATATGTTGCATGATAGAAAAAAGATTTCTATACTTTGTAAGCTTTTTTTTTTTTTTGCCTCAATAATACTTTTATTCCATATAATGAAATGAATAAAAAAATGAATACAAAATATAATATTCAATAATCGTCAGAATATAACTCGTGGACCATACATATAGATTTATGCTTGCAGTGTTTGATATAAAATCTGAAAAAATATGACATTATTATGTTAAACTCTGAGGCACAAATTCTCACGGGATTATCGCTTACAGTTGATGGAGTTGTTGAGGATGATAAATTGAAGCATCGTCCTCTTTGATTTAGTTTTAGTGCTTGTAGTGTTTGGCACATCTAGGTTTAAGGATCTTTATTCACAATCTCACATTAGCTGGTAATGCTTTTACAGTTTAGTTGTTTTTCTGCAAATTGCTTCTTTCACCACTTATCACTCAATGATCATGTTTCTGAAATCTTTTTTACAGAAAGTTCCCTATCAGTTTTCGATGGATCACCTGCCAAACTGCAGAACGGAGATTGTCCTTCATAATTTGAAAGGAGAATGTTGGACTGTAAATTCTATCCCTACTATGAAGGTGCAGACATTGCATACTTTCTGTGGAGGGTGGATGGCGTTCGTTCGTGATAATGATATCCAGATGGGAGATATCTGCATATTTGAGCTTATTGGCAAATGTGAAATGCGTGTTCACATATCCGGTATTGGGAAGAAAGCTGTAGACTATCAAAACGGGACATGAAATGCGGAGGGAAGTTGATCTTTACCTGAAGTACCATGGTAAATATAGTTCTCCTCATTCCTGTTATTATTATTGGGTTAAATACACTGGCGATCGTTAAACTTCATTTTACACCAAATTCGTCACTCAACTTCGACTTTATTTCGAGGCCGTTATTTAGACCATATCCATTAGTTTGACTAATAGAAAAGAATAATGCTATATATACAAAGTGGGATCATCCCCATGTGATGTAGTAGGTAAACGTATGGTGTAATGATAAGGCCAATTAAATGTGTGGATATGAGACCCGCTTTATTGACATTATCATTTAATGCAACCTCACATGGGGATCATCTCCAATTTGTACATATATAGTATTACTCAAAAGGAAAACGTGATGTTGCATTCTAGTTATTTGCCAACTAAACTACCCCGCACCCGCAATTTGTACGTATAGCACCTGTTCGGTAGGGATAAAAATTTACTTAAGGCCTACAATTAATTTTGACCCACTACATTTCAATCACGCATTTCATCAATTTCTTTCAAAATTTACTAAAAATCTGATTTTAATCGCCACTAATTAGTAACATAGTATTATTCAACAGAAAACGTGATGTTGCTGTGTAGTTATCTGCCGACTAAACTACCCATAATCCCTAGTTTGTACATATAGCATTACTCAACGGAAAGCATGACGTGGTTGTCTAGTTATTTGCCAACTAAACTGTCAGATCAACTTTTAAGTTAGTCAAACTAGTAAGTACAGGCAAAGTAACCAAATTGTAACAAATGTTGAAGTTCATGGACGAGCTGAAACAAAGTTTAATTTACTAACTCAAAACAAAATGAAGGCCAACTTGAAATTTTGTTTGGAGTTCAGTCCATCAGCGTTTTTAACCCGTACTTTATATGTTGGATCTTTGATTAGGATGTTCTAAACGCTAGCTTATCCAAAATCCCTAATGAATTATCTGATGTTGTGACTAGTGATGTTTATTGGCGGGCTGCAGTTTCTTCTGGATGGTTGAAATAGGAACATTTTCTAGCTGCTCGTCTCTTCGTGTATATAATGGAACAATTAGTAGAAAGGAAGAGATAAAGCTGCTTTTTGGGTTGGAAAAACATCCTCGGTATGTTTTAGATTTATGTTACATGTTGAGTTTTATGCTATAACTTCTGGTGGAATTCAGTATTTAGAAGCATGAAATGCCTGTGCCAGTGTAGATGATCAAATTGGAACTCGGTGACTGTTAACCAGTAAAAACTAGCTGAAAGAGACGTGAAAATTGTGCATAACTTGTTTTTCAATTTGTGCTTCGTTCTTATTTTTTTTAACTTGTAGTCAGTTGACTGAGTTGGTTTGAATCGATCCCTGATATGTCAAAAACGATCACCTGTATCTAGATCATCCTGAGATGAATTCCAATTCAGGTCAGAATGTTCTGTCTTTAGAGAAAATGAACGGGTTAGTTTTCAAATCCTTAATGAGGTCATTTGAATAGTGTAAGGGAAATAGTCATTTAACAAAATATCAAGTAGAGTTATTTCCGCTCTCTCCTCGTGAGTTTTGCTATTTGTACACAGGGGTTGACACCTGTTGATTTAGTTGGGTTTTGGTGTCTATGACCGAAACTTTCATGGGTTCTAGCAAATTTTCGACAATAACTTGATGGTGCCTCATGAGGGGGAAGAAATTCTCTATGGGAAACCTAATTTTGTGGAAGACAGAGAGTTCGTTTTTCAATTTTAAGGTTTTAGTAATTGGGTCAAAATTTTTAAAGTGGACCTGGCCAATTTTAAAGTGGGTGAGGCCAATTTTAAATTGGGTCAAATTTTTTTTAAATGGATTTACATTTTATTTAGTCATGAAAGAATTGAACGTTATGTCAATTGCTAATTCCAAATGGTGAAAAACTTTTATAACTAAATTATTATTTTACCAATGCTTTGGAATACACACTTACATAACCATTCCAATTACAGAGAGATTGGCTTCATTTCAAGAGAAAATTCTTCTTGCTTCTTGCTCAAATTCTTTAATTTTTTTTTCCTTGACATAAAAAATAAATCAAAATATTTATAAAAATTAAGTAAAAAAAAATAATCAATGTGTCGATAACGTATCGTATGGATACATTTTTGTGAAATTATGTGTCGACTTCCGTGTTGGACACTCGTGTCCGTGTCGGTGCTTTTTAGCTTACAGGAATGATTTGTAAATTATTGACAAAAATCGCTCGAGGGTTAGAGATTGCGAGGCATTTTGGTTTCTACAAATGGCCATCATTGATTTTTAGGAGTGTTAATTAGCCTAGCTGAGTTGGCTCGGCTCGTCTATATTCATGTTGGGCTAGGCCCATTCTAAGAGAGAACTCATGCACACTTTGGAACGAATCGAGCATGAATGCTCAGCACATCTCAAAAAAGCCGGCTATGCTCTTCACACCGACTCGCTTATTGTTGGGGAGAATTGCTCGTTCTGCCAACTTTGTTATCGTTCTTTCCGGAACTTCACAAAATAATAAATGGTGAAATTGAAAATATTGATTTCTTAAAAATGTTTAATAAAAGAAATTTGAACTTGTAAAAGTCCTCCTTTGTCCGGATTTGGGATCAACTATACAATACGTGGTCGATTTAAGGATTTGGGATCGACAATACAATCCGTAGTCCATTTAAAATTGTAATTTGTACACGAATTAATATTTTGTGCACATTTTTTGTAAAATAAATAATTACATATAATAACATTGTACAAATAAAATAAATAAAAATATAAAATTTAGTTACAAATAAAATAAATAAAAATATAAAATGTACTTACCCCCGGTGTCTACGATTGAAATACATGAACGTTGGCAGAATAGCCAAAAGGTCACCTTCTTCAAGCCAATGTCTTACAAAATGTGCTTTGAATTGGTTTGCAATGTCACCTGCACGTGTTAAATCTCGATCCAAAATATGACTTCTCATTAAAAATTTTACTTCTTAAAGTGAATGGACAATATTAGATAGTGAGAACATTGTAATTTCCTCTACTGACGTAAACTAAACAAGTTGTCGTCAACCAATGTTTCATTCCATGTAGTTGCTCCGAGTATATGATTATCATACGTTTGGAACTTGAAAAACTAAAATAAATTAGTATAGATCAAAACGAAGTACGATTACATAATTGTATTATACTTTCTCGTATAGATATTTGTTTCGAAAGTGAAGTTTAAAATATTTTGAAATAATTCCAAACGATATTCCACTCTGCGTAACTTTAGAAAGGGGTCGAAGGCTGCAACGAGAATAAAATCATTGATAAACGACGATAACATGTTTAATTTGTTTTCCATTGCGGCAAGACTTGAAATATGGGAGAATCTTGATTCGTGTGCCGTACAAAGGTTATGGATATTTAAAAATGAAATATGGGAGAACCTTGATTCATGCGATATTTGCTTCTTTCTTTCAATTTTATTTTCAATTATCGAGTTTTATCTAATAAATAAAACATACAATAAATTAAGCTATAATTGTTCAAAAGAATTATTAAACAATTATTAACTTTAGTGGATAAAAAAAAAAAAAAAAAAAACTTTCACGACAATTCTGAAATTTTCACTCTTCAATGACTATAAGGGTCCATTTGATTGGAAATGTGGAATTTAGGTGGAAAGAAAACGAATTTCAAGGAATTGAATGTGGAAAAAAAAAAAAAAAAAAAAAAACTTTCACGACAATTCTGAAATTTTCACTCTTCAATGACTATAAGGGTCCATTTGATTGGAAATGTGGAATTTAGGTGGAAAGAAAACGAATTTCAAGGAATTGAATTGATGGGAAATTATTTTTCTGGAAATTGTAAATTATTGTGTTTGATTGGTATAATTTTTCATGTGAAAATGTTTAAATTAAAGTGTTTTTTTATGTTTGTTTGGCTTTGTTTTACATGAAAATTGTTAATTAAAGGGATATAATTTACTGGTATTGGGAATGAAATTTATTTCTATTGCCAAAACCAAAAAAAATAAAAAATAATAAATTCAAGAAAATTATCTATCTTTGAGTGTTCGTTTAGTTTTGTTTTACATGAAAATTGTCAATTAAAAGGAAATATATTTTTTACAATAAATCTTAAAATTTGTTTCCATTACCACCCAAAAAAAATTCAAAAATCAAAAAAAAAAAAAAAATGGTATAGTAACATGGAATTTCCTTAAAAATCAAGAAAAGATCAATTCTCGAGACAAGCAAGAAAAGGCAATTCCATGAAAATAAAACCCTATCAAACATCATAAAGTTGGAAAATGGAATTCTATTTCCATTTTCCCTGAAAAATTTTGGTGTATCAAACACAACCTAAGTGAAATTAACCATGCTCTTGAGGTTGTACTGTTGGATTATTCGGTCAAGTCCAATCGAATTTCTGCTAATTCCTTGTGGTACTTTTAATAAGATGGATATTAGTGAGTAGCAGACAAAATTAACCGAAAGAATGGAATTTCTTGATGTTCGAGGGACGTGAAAATCTACTAGTAGTGTCTTATCTAGCTCTAACTTCATGTTTACGTTCAGATTTTTGTTTATCAACTCATCATAAGCCAATGAACCAATCTTTCTTTTGACATCATTCCCACTTGTTCCGACTCGACATGCATTAATTGATTCGATTATCACTGTGTTGAATATTGTTGTTCAAAATCAATAAAAGAATGTGGAATGAAAATGGAACTGGAGGCCAAAATATTGGCCTATGCGGTCACATGGTGATTTGCAGGGCCACTATTAAACGATCTATGCGGCCGCATAGGTTTGATCCATGTGGGCACATAGAACATTTTTCTCGCCGTCAAGTGCCCTTTTTGTTTGAGTTTCAGGTGGGCTTTCAAGTGTTTTGGCACCACTTTGTGTAGTATTGATTGATTGACTATATATAGGGGATTGATGATCAATAAGAAATATATAGTGACACTTGAGATTAATTCCTCATTCCAAAAAGTTTTAAAATTCATTTTTCTCTTCATATTCAAATCTTGATTCTGTGTTCTCTAGTTTTGAAGAATTTCACTAGTGCTTTAAGTGCTAAATCCTTTTCAAGGCTTGATAAATCATGTAAACCGTTTTGCCAAGAATCCATTTAAGCATCAAATTTAATACAAAAGAAAGTAAATATCATTTGAAAAAACGATTACGTGTTTAAACCTTCTTTTTATGTTTCTTCATCTTGTTATTTTTCTTCTCCATCCCCTTGTATGTAAACCATATTTCCAACACTTTGTACGTGATCATGTGACTCGAGTAACATTGACATTTCATACTTCAAGCAAAGATCAACTCAGATGACACTAAACAATTTCATTTTCTACGTACTAATATGAGTGCCACCACGAGGAGTACCATGTAAAAGCTTGAGAAAATTTAAGCTCCATTTCTGTGACACCTTCTACACGAGAGAATCCTATTATAACTAAGAAATATAGGGTTCTCCAACGTACCAAACGTGTCCTTAAAAAACAAATAATAGGGAATTTCATGAATGGTGCTCCAATTATCAAGAGTCAGAAACTCGTCTAGTAATTGGAGCAATGTCCAATAATATTGGAGCATCGTCTAGAAGGAAAAAAAGAAAAGAAAATAACGTAAAAAGACAAATTTCAGTAATAAAAAATAGAATGAGAAATATTATTTGCAGAAATAGCATGATAATTCAGTAGAGCATTTATAACAAAAAATAAATGGGAAAAATAAACCCAAATTGCAACTACGAATTATAAACTGGTAGAATAAAACATTCAGCAATTTTTTCTTAAACAAAATCTGGAAGCCTTTAATCAGCTAGCCAGGATCAAAACCATAAGATGATACTGGTTAAACACACTATAGTAGAAACCTTTTTCGCATGTTCCATATGCAATACTAGACATGATAGACGAGACAAGATATTAACTTCATTTTCTTCTTTAACATTGTCCAGAACGTCTAATCCAACTTACCAAACCACACGCCTTTTAAGGTAATTTATCAGTTCATTCGTCAGTTCGGCTTGAAAAATTTCAGCTTAAGCCCACTGTTTACAATACTCCAAATACCCCCCATAGAGAAGGCCAAGCTAAATGCAATCCCCAACCAACCAAGAATCCAGTTGAAGTACCAATTGAAGCTGTACTTTGTTGGCTTTTTAAGAAGAACCCACATGAAGCACGGGTATGCGAAGGTGACTGGAAGAGTGAGACCTCCTAATAAACCGGCAAGGCTTGACAGGAAAGGGAGTGCCACCCCTATAAGTAAATTGACAAATCCATAGAAAACTCTGAAACCGGAGCGCACCCAAATAGAGCAAGGACGATTTGTACGGCTTGTATAGCTGGCTTCAAAACTGTCAAAAACCGGCATTGAGTATATCTGGAAACTGCTCAAGCAGTTAAACACAACAAGAAGAAATGTCATTGCAAGAAGGCCCCTTGAAATATCGTGACTATGAAATCCGAATAACGCATTAAGAATTCCTCCAGAAGGCATCTGCAAGAAATAGAAAAAAGGTTACTGTGTTAAATGTGCTTAGTAGTCGACTTTAAAGGTATCTTAAGTTAGAGAATACTCTTTATTCATTTTGTTGGGCACAAGGGATGAGATGTGCAATGAGATACACTTTTCTTATATTTTCACATCAAGGATTCGGCTTGTATAATAGATACTAATAAGAACTGAACCATCAAAGGAAGGAACGAGAATAAACCAACAGGATCAGAAATCTCATTAGATTTGCCTAATCCTTAAAAAATAAAAATAAAAGGTTCCATCATAACAAATTCCACTCATAGATAAGTGATAAAACTTACGAGGTTTCCATAAGCCAGGAGAGGGAGAGAGAGAACCTGAATTTCAAGGACTAAATTGTGGCCTCTAAATGCAAATGCTATGATACCGAGTGCATTCAAGACGGAAAACACAGAAGCTGTTGCTGTAGGCAGTGAAAGGGGTTGGTACGAAATTGCGGGTGGTCGAGGTTGGCTTACAGAGAGCAACCACACCATGGTCGAGTACGTGATTGCAGTCACCGCCCCAACTAGCGAGAGTCCGGCAATTGAATTGAGGTTCGGAAGCTGGGATAATACGATGCACAAGGACGTAAATACCAAATACCACTCAACAGTCGTCAGAGGATTAGACGAACAGAGGGGACCACAAACTATCTGAAAGAATAGTTTCATGGTCTCCCCTCCCACAAGAATCAAAGCCGTTGCAGTCCCTGCTGATAGGTAAACAGTGGGGAAAAGAGCAAGCCAGACACCCAATCGCTCCCCTGATTAAAAGAAGTAACGGTAAATATTCTTTGATCTTTGCATATTCTGAAATATATGTAATATTAATGCTGGATCGCAATGACAAAAGTGTCCCAAGATCGTAATTTTGGGGATAACACACATTTTTTTGTTGAATTTTGACTTCCCAAAGTGAATAATAGGGAAAAACTTGTCCTATTTACCTAAGCAGAACTATATAGGCTCTTTCGATTAAAACACCGGATTCTTTGGATGACATAATACATGATAATAGTAAAATTATATTCTAAACCTTTATTGTCTGTCACGTCATCTTCATTCCACAGTTCCAATCAGATTTCTCGTCAAAAGAACGCATGAAATATGCAAAGCTACAACTTTATACAATGCTTGCAAGGCTAAAATAAAATATATATGGACCTTATTTTTAATGCTATTGTCATCTATAATTGGAACTCACCAAAGGCTGCTTCGGCTAGTTCAATGTATCTATTGTATCTCTTCCCAGGAACTGCTTCATGTAGCTGAACTAGAATCCATAGAGTGTATAGCTGCCAGATGTAGGCTATAATTAAAGAAATTATTCCCCAACTCCTGCATCAGAAAATAACAAGAACTGAAAAATCATCCTACTCAAATTGTTATGAAGTGTATTTTGGATACTCATCTTACTTATTATATTGAAATAATTATCTGAACATAGATAGTAGTATCATAAGTGACCTGTGGTTCGGTGTAAGGTTTAAATTTCTTTGATCATAAAGGAAAGCAACCATAACTATATAGGTTTCGGAAGGATACAATTTTACCCTAACAAACTTATCAAGGAAGAGTATTCATCAAGGCAAATAAGTTGATAATGAGATCTCCCATCAATTCATAAGTTTCACTAAAAATAAGTAGCCCAAGAATTGCCAAATGCATATACGTCACGAAAGTAAAATACTAGATGAATCCCTCAGTAGTAGATCGACCCCTTATCTAAATGGTGTGTAAACGTTTAGGTTGCTGAAGCATGTAGTCATTTAAGAAAAATAAATTTTCTAAGGAAGATTAGCATTGTTTAAGAACTTTATTGAAGATAATATAAATAAATAAATTCATGTCCTCTCTACTAGCTTAAAGTTTTAGTCGAGTTGGTTTGACCCGGAAATGCAATCTTGGAATTACTTTGAACAAAAAGTTTCTGAATATGAACTGAAACTAACAAAAGAATCAAGAATAATATTGAAAAACTCCTATTTAATTCAAGTTTTGAGTATCATACCATCCAAGAAAAGAGAAAGCAACTGGCAAGACCAAGGCCTGAAATCCCACACCAGCATTCAGATTATGAAAAGCCGCATAATGTGCATTCCCATTGCGCGATTCCGTAATGGGAAGCCAAGCATCTTGAGGATTCAGCTTCGTCAAGTGCCCCACCTCCTCCAAATATCCCTTCATATTAGTCAAAACCCTCTTCATGGGAGTCCCAATAGGGCTCAAGAACCTCGGCGAAATGAACGAAGTCGGAGTCCATGACTTCGCCGTGCTGGATTCCTTCCTCGGCGACCTCTGACCGGAAGGGGTCAGTATCTCCGGCGTCGACGCGCGAGGGGTGGCAGGTATTGATATTAGTTCAGTCTCTGGCCTTTCCTCCATAAGTGATTATGCAAAAAAATGAAAAACGAAGTGAAATAATTGAATGGTGAGTTCTGTTTTCTTCTTCTTGTTTGTTTCTCAGTGTGGAGTGGTCAGAACTCAGAGATTCAGACAAGTGAAGAATAATTGGACTGCTGACTGAATGACTGACTGATCATGCAAATGCAAATTGTGAAAATCTATGTTAGAAGGGACCTTTAAAAAAGAAAAAAAGATAAAAATTTGTGAATAATTATGTTCAATTTTCTTTAGAACTAAGTATTTGTAATATTGTATTAAGAAAATATAGTCTAATATTCTACATTATTGTTGTACAGTGTCAGGAAAAATTATATCGAAAAGAAAAAATAAAATTAAAATTTTGTGGGAATAAAATTAAAATTTTGTGGGTGCAAAATTTTGTTCGATCTACGAGCAAATTGAGATCTTGCAGCAAAGATGTATTTTTCGGGTATTTTTTCTTACTGTATTCTTAGTGGATTGAAGTTAGTCCTTTAGAGGAATATGTATGATTTAATTTTGTGCACCGAACATGTACAATCATTTATGTTGAGACAAAAAGCTTGACAAGTGCTTATAAATATTTACAAAAGTCAAATTATATTTTATGCACATGTTTAGTGAAATCCAGAAGTATTACTTATCATATTCTCATTCTATGTTCTTATAAATATAAATGTTTAAAAATACTTATAAAACATATGCTAAAATCGTAAAAGTTGACGAGTGATATTTTCACAATTGAAATATTTAGCAAGTGTTTGGCACATTTTCAATAAAATTTATTTTTCTTCAAATTCACATTCAATCACATTCTCTCAAAAAAAATAATTTTGAACGTGAATTATTATTTTTCTTACTTAATTATCATTTTTCAAAAAGTCACTTTTTACGAAATAATCTACTTCAAAAAGGTCGCTATGTATACTAACTATATTCTAGAGTGTACTTAAAATTAAATTTTTAATAAATTTTAATAGTTAATAGAATGTCAAAATTAAGCCCATGTTTTATGGTCATTATAAAGAAAAAAATGCAAAAAATAAAATAAAATAAAAAATTATATTTTGAATACAAGATTTTAATGTTTGTTCTATGATTTTGCCTGATGTATACGTACTATGGTTGTGTGTGTGTGTGTGTTAGCGAAGACATTACATCAATACGGAATATGGTGCGGTAGTGACTACAGTTGCTTATGGTGTGGGCCTGTATTGGGGAGTTGTGCAATGATGGTGGCGTGGGCTGCCCATTCAAAGTGACCGACAAAGGTAAAATACAGAGGAAAGACAAGTGGCCGACTGATTTAAAATCATGAAAATACACACAGTAATTTTATTTAGCCCTGTTCGAGCCTTGTTTAAAAAAATGAATTTTTAAATAGTATATTGATAAAAAATATATTTTTAAAAAATAAAAAAATTAAATTTGTATTTAATATTATTTTATTAAAAAATGTGTGTTTGAGATAATATCAAAATATTGTTTAAAAATATATTTTTTCAAAGAATGAAAATCAAACGGGAACTTAACATCATTGATATCAAATATTAATTAAAATAACAAATGTATATTATTAAATAATAAGTTCATTTAAATGTAATATCATATTATTCATTCATTTAGATTGATACTCTAATATCATTGATACTAAATAGTATTTTTATTATAAAATATATCGAGTTTAGATATTCATCCAAAAATGTAAAAGGTCTACGCACAACGATTGTATTCGAAAGTGGTAACAATTATTTGGCATTAGGTTTACAAAAATATGACAAGTAGGACCACCGTGGAAATTTAAGGGTTTTCCTAATATTTTATTGGGAATATTGCTATTATGGTCCTCAACATATTGATTTTCAGATTACATTTTGACAAGAATATTTCCAACCTTTCAATTTGTAACACCGTGAGTTTCTACTATTTAGTGGACATAATTCATTTGCTTTCAAGTTAAATGCACGAATGTATATGAACTTTGTTTCACATACCAAAATCATACATGATGTTATCAAAATCATATATGAATTAATTTTGTATTACATCTATACATAAAATGAAATTAAGGGAAAATTGTAGCAACAATCCCTAATATTTTCCTTTTTTACAAACTTTACATTAACTTTCATTTTGAGGTCCAACTAGGGGTGTAAATTTGATTCATCAATTTATGGCTTGGTCCAATAAAAGCCTGAGCTAACCAGACTCGTGGATCAGAGGAATGACTCGAGCCTAGCCTCTTTTTGGGACGTTTGCTAGAGCCCAAACCCCACAAGCCGACTCGTATCACAGGCTATTTAAGCCTGTAACAAGCTAAGCCTTAGGAAAAGAGGAACAACTTCAAATAAACAACATCACAATCTGACGGCCATGGTACAATTTTGACTCTTCCGTTGACGGAATTGTGATGGCGTACAAGGGGGAGTCCACACCGTTGAATGTAGAGTAAAAACCACACTGACGATAATGATATTAAAAAAAAAAAAAAAAAGGTTTCCAAAAATAAAAAAAAAAAAAAAAAAAAAGTCAAATGAAAAAGGCAGCTACGTCTGCTACCTTAACTAGTAGCCATAGCCTATATGACAAGATTGAAATTTCAAATTGAGTTGAGACGGTTATATTTTTTGGTTATAAATATGAGTTAAATTTTTCAGTCTCATAAATATTCTTCAATCAGTTTTAACATGTAGTATTCTAGTTTCAACTCCAAATCTTCATTTTTTTCATCTAATATTTAGTTTCTTTTACTCTAATATGCAGCATCTTTTGTCATAATAGCCATATAATATAAATGAATTTTACTAGTGATGAGATTAATTAGTTTAAAGGTAGTTTGAGTAATCCAACTTACAATAATGCATCTCAAAATATTCCAATTGATTTGGAGGATATTGAAGAGGAAGAATTGCTTGAGACTAAAAGGATGAAAAAAGAATAGTAGAATTATTGACAAGGTTATTCTTGGGGTACATAGGGGGCACATAAGTGTGTCCAAAATGGACACCCGACGCCTCCTATCGGAGGGGCGCCTTACGCAAGGGGTTATGTACCTCAAGAATAATTCTTATTGACAATATATGACACGTAAAAAAAGTTAGTGTTCAAAATGGAGTTGATATTTGGAAAGTATGTTGCAATTACTGTGGCAAAGAACTTAGTTGAAAGACTGGTTCAAGCACAACGCATTTGAATAGACATATATTAAAGAGTTACAAAGCGAAATCAATCGATCTCGACCCAAACTGACCTAATTTGACAGTTCTTGTTCTACTCTTTCCACATTCACACATTTACATGAAAGATTTCATGAAAGAATGACTGCATATATGAAAGTAGTAGAGATACCACTTACGATGATAGACTCAATACACTTTATCTAACTCATGCAAAATTATCTCCAGCCCAAGTATACTTTTTTATTGTAAAAATATTCTTCATTCAGATACTATAAAATTATGTAACAAAAGAAAATAAGTTGCTATTGAAAAATAATTTTTTTTTAACGATGTTGTATTGTTTACCTCTAATTTATGGATTGACGGTAATAAATAATGTTATATTGCTATTACAACTCATTATATTGATCACATGTGACTTCTACATAAAATGATTATTACATTCACATGGATAGAATGTCCTTATAATGCAACTAATATATACATGATTTTAAAATATATTATATAAGAATATGGTATACAAGAAATGGTTCAAAATTTTACTTTTGATAATGCTAATGTTAACAAACGTGTTATCGATAAGTTTATTAATGATCTTAACCCCACCTTTGGAAAGTTTATTATTATTATTTTTTTTTATCAACATTGTGTATACTACATTATCAATTTGATTGTAACAGATAGATTAGAACATGTAAAACTCTCTTTAGGTAAAACTTCACAAGCTATAAATTTTATTACTATTTCGCTAGTAAGAAAGCAAGTAATTAAAAGTTTAAGTGTAGAGTATGGCTTACGAGAGAAATCATTTGCCACTAATGAACATATAGATGGAGCTCTATATATCTTATATCACATTCGTGTGGAAATTATGATAAAGTTATTTGACTATATTATAATAGTAGGTATATATACGAACCCGAACATATATTGGAATATTGGGAATGATCTATTGCATTTTGTGTGAAAATTTCATAAAACCTTTTTTGATACCATAAAGGAATGTAATAATGTTTATTATCCTACATTTTCACTTATTTTACAACACTTTTTCTACATTTTGCAAACATTTCATGAATATAGGAATTTTTAAGTTTTGTTGAGGTAATCTACTTTGTGGAGTTGAAATTTCGTAAATATTGGAAAGAACCGCTCTCTTAATTTCTTTTAGCTTCAATGATGGACCATCAACTCAATTTAATTGACATAAAAACTATTATAAATGGGATTTTAAAATTTATGAATGTGAAATTATTACATGTACATATAGAATCTATGTTATATAAAATGTATAACTATTATGTTGAAAATCGGGGTAACTCTACCTTTCAAAGTTTTTTTTTAAGAAATATTTCAAAAAATTCAGATTATATATAAAATTATTTGGACAACAACACAAGTGTTCCCGCATTTACTTTTAGTTCATCAATATCTAGAGTGATAGATGTTAGTGGTATAAATCTTGAAATTCCCCTTGAGTTAGCTAGGCATATGTGCGTGGACGGTTGTAGAGTCTTACAATCAAAAGAATTACAAGAATTTAATATTTTATCATGGTGGAGGTGTAATAAAGGGAAATATCCAATTGTATCAAAAGTTGTAATCTACTAATACCTCCGATGTTTACGATGGCATCGGAGGCTGCATTTAGTTTAGGTGGTTGACCTTTATTATACGAACGATCAAGACTAAAAGAAAATATATTAGAGACTTTAATATGCTTGAAAAACTGGGAATGTGCCGAATTACGTATTCAAAAACAAGTTGACGATCTAATGATCGAAGAGTTGCAGCAGATCCAAGTATAACGATATTATAAGTTTTTAAATTGATTAATTTTAAAAAAATACGTAATTTTTAAATTTATTTGTTCCAAAAATATTGTATATGAAATATTTTATTCGTGTATAATTTTAACTCTGTCTACGTTGATTGTAGTTGTTTTTAAACTCGAAAAAATGAGAAGTGTTGTAACTTTTATTTAATTTACAATCCGTATAAATTGCATAAATT